AATTGCGGGAAAAAAAAGGTTACCTATTAATCAAATAATAACAGTAGTAGATCTTATTACAGTGACAGGACGTACCTACAAATTATAGTCTCAAGAAATTCTATTAATAAGCACAAAATGGGATAAGATTAAAACAAGAGGTATTTATTTATATATTGTTTGTGTATAAAATTCTAAAATATGTTTATTTTACAATATAATGTCAATAAAATATATCTGTATTGGTTGCCTGCTTACATATTGCCCCAGGACATCATTCTTGGTTATACTCAATTGATTTTTTAATTTTAATCACAATACTATTCATATTTTTATTAAAAATTATATACTATAAAAAAAATTTAATATATTATTTATAAAAATAAAAAAATTAAAAAAACAAAAATGACTTTCGAGATTTTTTATTAAATCGTTTAATATAAAGGTAATAAACATTTTTAGTGAATATTAACACCCAAAAAAAATTCCTTCCTAACAATGTTAATTTTTTATTTTTACCGGAAATAAGAAAACACTTGAATTTTTTTTTATATTTTCTAACGTAAAATTTTAAGGGCTATAAAATGATATATAATTTGTAACTCTATCTTAAGTATTTTTAATAATAATAAGATTTAATGAAATCCCGCACTTCGCGATTTTCGACTTTGAAGGCGTATATCTTTGGATCTGGTTCAGCTAGCACTCTAAAATTTTGATTTTATTAACATATACAACATAAATAACTAACATGCTAAGTTTCATTCATTTTTGAGATGGTCGGCCGAATCGCTGCTCGATTTGTCATATGTGTGATTAAAAGCTCATGATCTTTCGAAAAAAGCCATAGTTCATGAAATTATGATCTCGCTAAAATTTATGTAATACATAAAAAAGGGGAATAAATATTTCTTAAATTTAAAAACATGTTATACTTTAAATTAATATTTATCAATTTAAAAATCAACTAATGGCCACAAAAATTTCTAAATATAGAAAATTACGCGAATTTAATGAAAAAAAAGATATACGCTTATTTTTAATGTAAAATTAAAGAATTGTTAAAATTTTCACAAAATATGCAATTCATAAAACTTTTGAGTAACGAAACTGAATTATTATTACATCAAAAAATTTTCATTAATTGCCACACAATTGCATATTTATTATTTTTAATAAAAAAATATTAAAAATTTCCCCTAGTTTTAGTGACTACCAATTTTTATTATATAATATTCAAATTAGATATGCAAATATATTATTTACTAGCTGATAGCCCGTCAAGAATGACGGATAATCAGAATTTTCTCCGTATGGATAAATAATAAATTTTACCTTCATTTGACGATGGATGAATCAGAATACAGAATAATAGTCAAATGAGAGATATAGATTATCCATATTCATCCTTCCTTTCTATAAATTTTTAGAGAAAAGATTAAATATATTATGAAAAATATGGAATAAAAAATATATGATTTGTGAGTTTTGATATTTATTAATTCTTTTAAGATATTTTCCACATCCAGACGCAATGGTTTTTGCTCTCTCACTTCGTATAAAATCTACATTCTTCTCAAAGAATCATTTAAATGCTTTTAAAACTGCCATAATAGATTCGAATCAATCATGGGGGCAAACCTAATTATCTCACAAACACTGTGGTGGTATCCACACCATTACAATGGGCTATTTAGAAAATTATTAGCTAAAATAATTGCCATTGGTTAAAACCTAAGGTCTTAACTTATTAAGTATACTTATCAATTGGGATTTGGTGTTAACAGAGAAGGCTCACATGTCATTTGTATCCCAAAATCCTCCTCCTAACATGGCTATTATCAAAATAGACTTTAAAAATGCTTTCAATAGCAAATTTTGTAAACATTTCATAAATTGTTTTTATCCCAAATTTCCTGTTTATTCAAAATTCCTAGAGTCATACTGTAACATTAACTTCTTTATTCAGCCCACATGTCGTAGATTCTGACAAAAGGATCCAGCAGGGGGAAAACATCCTCGTTTATTTTACCTTGGTATTCATTATCACATCTATTATCTTAAATTTAAATTTGATTTGGAGATAAATATTTGGCATCTTGATGATTGAACAATCTGTGATGCTCTTCCTAAGATAAGTGGTTTTCAAATTCTTGAAGCCAATTTTAAAGGACTCATTCTTAATAAGTCTAAATCCGAAATCTGTTTCCATGATAACTATATATAAAACCCTCATCTGGCAAAATTAAATTTTTTATTGAGTACATAAATAATAAAAATTAAAAAAAATAAGAAAATTAATATAATTAAAAAAAAGTATACAAAGTTAGATTACCAAAAAAAATGCATTGCTGGGATTCGAACCCAAAGCTATCAGCTTCGTAAGCGGCGCTCTTGCCGATTAGGCCACAGACGCTTTTTAAAGTTGACGATACTGTGACTATGACATGGCTTTTATATATATTATAGATAGATAGATATATGTTTATGATATATAAGATGGTAATGTTAGATATTTTTTAATAGATGCTTTGATAAATAAGTGTTTGATATAGTATGATGCTATAATAATACTATTGGTTATTACGTTGTGAAAAATTTAAAAATATAAGAATATCTATTTAATAGTTTGAATTTTAAAATAACAACAAACTTTATGTGAATATGTCACACTTAATTATTTTATCTTCTATTTAATTAATTTTGCCAGATTAAGTTAAAAAAATCATTACTGAGATTCGAACCCCATGACCTTCACATTTGTGAGCGACGCTCTTGCTGATTAGGCCACAGACGCTTTTAAAAAATCATGAATTTTTAAAATATATTATAAATTGTGACAGTGACATTGTGACTACAGCTTTTATATATATTATTATTATATATAGATATTATTTTTTTATTACATAATTTATAAGTTTAAGTAAAAAACATTAAAAAATACATAAAGAGCCAAATCAACCAATATAATAATTTTTATACATTGGACAGGTAAGTTAAACAAAATTTTTAAATAAATGAGCAGTCAGGTGCACCAAAACTTCCCCATTGCAGATCTATAATCAGGATGACATCGGAAAGAGCAGATCGGATTTTACCTCTGCCAAAGAATCCATTTATAAATGATATACGTCTGCCACTTTTATTTTCCTGTGCATTTACCACCAGAGGTCTGCAAATGACAACATTTTCAGGTCCAATGGGAATTTAGTTAACATTTCAAAGGACGGAACTACCAAGTTGGATTAAGAAGAAAAATAATCATTGCTGAGATTCGAAAGTCCATCAGATTTGTAACGCTCTTACCAATTAGGCCATAGACACTTTCCAAAATTCACACCATGAAATGGTTTTCAGAAAAAAATCAGTGTCACAATTTATAATATATATTATAGATATTTCAGTTAGTTCTAGTATATATATATGATAATGTATAAGATGATAATGGAAGATGAATGAATGTTTGATAAGATATGATTTTATGGTGATTTTTATTGGACGAATATTTTTTAAAAATATAAGAATACCTATTTAATAGTTTGAATTTTATAGTAGCTGCTACAAACTTTGAATCGTATCAATTTGATTAATTTTGCCAGATTAAGAAAGAAAAAAATATTTTGCCAGATCGAGAAAAAAAATCTTTGCTGGGATTCGCTTAAGTCCATTAGATTTGTAAGCGACGCTCTTTGCCGATTGGGTCACTTATCAAAATTAACGATTTTTAATATATATATTATAAATTGTGAAAGTGTGACAAGGCTTTTATACAATATATTAATATAGATTTTCAAAAAATAAATAATAAAACTTTTTCTTCTTTTTTCCATCTGGCTGGTACCAGAAAATTTGATTTTTTAGATCATTTTCTTTATTTGTTATAATAAAATTTGATAACGGATTTATAGTGTTGTGCAGATTTAATTCAAAGCATTTCCATATTATTAAATCATTTGAAAATAAAATTATTTGACTTGCAAAAAAATTGTTAAAATAACATATTTATATATTCTTATAATTTTTACAAGTTAAATAATTTTATTTACAAACGAATTAAAAAATATGGAAATGTTTTGAATTAAATCTGCATAACACTGTAAAAAGTGAATGTCTAAAAAAGTAAATAGTATAAAATAAAATAAAGTTTATATATAATGAATGAAAAGGGATAAAGTTAAAAGATTTAAATATAAAAATATATATATATCATGAATATTTTTTTAAATGTTCCTGGAGTGGGCCTGAAAATTTTTTTAAAAAATATACCCTGGCCTGGCCTGAAATTTTTTTAAAAAAGAATATCTGGGCCAGGCCGTATATTTTAAAACCAAATATTTGAAATCGCCATTATTAGCTATAAAAATCAAAAATAAATATAATATATTTTAAAAAAATCCGGGCCTGGCCAAAATATTTTTTTGAAAAAAAATTCAGGCCGAGCCATGCAAATGGTACCTCTGCAGGTCTGATATATATTAAAAAGTTATTATGAATTCTTATATATCATTTTATAACATTTTTATTTTTATATATAAAATCGCCTTCGGAGTCGACTAAGAAAGCTAACTAATGGGGCTCATTTAGTCGACTTTAGTCAGAACCCTCTTTTCGACTAAAAACTAGGCTTGAGTTTCTAGCTAAGTGGACTCGGCTTAGCCTTTTAACAACACTATACTTGAAAAAATAATGGTATTAATATCAATGTCATTTAGTATTTTGACCACCATTCTTGAAAATGAATGAAACTGTATATTGGCTAAATTTGGCAAATCCCAAATTGGGGTTTCAAAGTTCTAGTTCAATTCTGGAGTTATGGGCCTAAAGTCTAATGTTTTATCTTGATTTAATGTATCACAACTCGGGTCAAAAAATGGAATCATAGGGTTCTAACTATATCTAATTGGGTAAATAAATAAAGGCTGGGATCTGGTACATCTCTAGTATTAACAAATACAAAAATAGAAATATATTTATATTTTCTTACATAATAATTATTTCTTTCGATAATTGCAATGGAAAAGGAAAACATACAAATTGTATACAATTGGCAATTTGTCCACAGTCTTGGGCTATGGTGTGCATTTGTTTCCCAGCACTCCATGGCTACGAAATTACTCAATTCTAAATCCACAACTTTTTCTAGTTACAACAAATTGATACCCACCTTGGTCAATCCATTAGTTCAAATTACAATTGGAACTATCAAGTTAATAATTCTTACTATTATTAAATTTTGACAAATTATCACCTTACATTAAAATTGATAGATTTATACAATTGTTTATATATATACATTTATGGTCAATTCCATAAAAAATTGATGTTTGGGTCATTCTATGACAAATTGATGAAAAACGCAATATTTTACCATCATTCTTGAAAATAAATAACTCCTATGTTGGTTAAATGGATTGTAAATTTCACCCAAATCAAAATTTTTATGTTGCTATAACTTGTTCAGACATTTTTACAGGGATGTGAACCTGACCCGTACCCTGAACCCTCATATTTTGGCTGTACCCGCCTGGACCCTGGCCCTTTTTAAAAGTGGAGGGTTCAAGGTGTCATAAAAAATTTCAAAAATAAAATATAATATAAATTTTTTAAAATTTTACCTTTTTCTTTCAATTTTCTTCCTGGACTTCCATTTTATTTAGAGATTGATATCATAAATTATTTTCTAGTGTAGGTAATTATATTTATTCTACAATTGGCTATTAATGATTGCCTAAATAATAATCACTTTAAAACTATAAAGCAAGGGATGTTGCAAAATATTTAAGAACTCTCCCACAATTGTAAGAATATTCAAATTAATGAAAAGGTCAATGGCAATATTAGATTGCACAACACGTTGGTCCTCAATTTATATGATGCTAGAACATTAAGTTTGTAAGATTTCTGTAGTGTTGTTAATCGGCTTAGCCGAGTCGGCTCGAACATAGCTCACCCAAATTTTGGGTCATTTTTTTCGACTCCAACTCAAAGTTTTGGTCGTTTTTTACGACTTCGACCCGAGTTCAAGCCGAAAAAAACGACTTCGACCCAAAATATGGGTCGTTTTTTTCGACTCCGACCCAAGTCCAAGCCGAAAAAAACGACCTCGACCCAAAATATGGGTCGTTTTTTACGACTCCGACTCAAAATTTGGGTTGTATTTTTCGACTCAAACTTGAAATTTGGGTCGTATTTTTCGACTCAAACTTGAAGTTTGGGTCGTATTTTTCGACTCAAACAAGAAGTTTGGGTCGTATTTTTTGACTCCAACTTGAAGTTTAGATCGTATTTTTCGACTCCAACTCAAAGTTTGGGTCGTTTTTCTGATTCAGAGTCAAACATCGGGTCGTTTTATTCAATCCGACCCAAAATATGGATCGTTTTTTTAAAGACGCCTTAAAGTTAGGGTTGCTTTTTTTCACCTAACCAAATATCTAGATCATTTTTTTCGACCAAAAGTCAAATAACATTTAGTAGATATTATTATTATAGGCGGGAAAGTTTCTTAAAGCTTCTTTAAATTATAACGCTCTGATTTAACTATTCCATCATAGTTATTTTTTAAAATTTTTAAGTAAAGATGTACCATAGAAAAGAGCCATTTGTTATGATGGTTATTTTGAACTTTTTTAAATGAAATAGATAAAAATATATATTGTAGACATGTTAAATCAAAATTTCAGTGAAGATGTACCATAGATAAGTGACAATTGTCATAATCGACATTTTTGAACTTTTTTGAGTTTTTTTATAGCAAATTGCTAAAAATATATATTCTGAACATGTTAAATTAAAAATTCAGTGAGGATGTATCATAGATAGGTGACAATTGTCATAATCGTTATTTTTGAACTTTTTTCAATTTTTTGAAAGGAAATAGCTAAAAATATATATTCTAAACATGTTAAATTTAAAATTCAGTGAGGATATATCATATATAGGTGACAATTGTCATAATCGCTATTTTTGAACTTATTCAAATTTTTTTAAAGGAAATAGCTAAAAATATATATTCTAAACATGTTAAATTTAAAATTCAGTGAGGATGTATCATAGATAGGTGACAATTGTCATAATCTTTATTTTTGAACTTTTTTCAATTTTTTTAAAGGAAATAGCTAAAAATATATATTCTAAACATGTTAAATTAAAAATTCAGTGAGGATGTATCATAGATAGGTGACAATTGTCATAATCGTTATTTTTGAACTTTTTTCACTATATTTAAAGGAAATAGCTAAAAATATATATTCTAAACATGTTAAATTTAAAATTCAGTGAGGATGTATCATAGATAGGTGACAATTGGCATAATCGCTATTTTTGAACTTTTTCAAATTTTTCTAAAGGAAATAGCTAAAAATATATATTCTAAACATGTTAAATTAAAAATTCAGTGAGGATGTATCATAGATAGGTGACAATTGTCATATTCGTTATTTTTGAACCTTTTTTAATTTTTTTAAAGGAAATAGCTAAAAATATATATTCTAAACATGTTAAATTAAAAATTCAGTGAGGATGTATCATAGATAGGTGACAATTGTCATAATCTTTATTTTTGAACTTTTTTTAATTTTTTTAAAGGAAATAGCTAAAAATATATATTCTAAACATGTTAAATTAAAAATTCAGTGAGGATGTATCATAGATAGGTGACAATTATCATAATCGCTATTTTTGAACTTTTTCAAATTTTTTTAAAGGGAATAGCTAAAAAAATATATCCTAAACATGTTAAATTAAAATATCAGTGAGGATGTATCACAGATAAGGGACAAAAAATGGTTATTATATATACGAGTAGTTAGGTACATAATAATCTTTAAGTGATAAAATGAGATGCTAATATATTTCTTGTAATTTTAATTTATAATAAAATTCTTAAATATGTTATTGTCATAGACTGGTTTAGAAAATCAACTATCACATAAACTCATCTATGTTTTATTCATATTATATTTTTAAGTTTGAGGATATAAAAATATTTCCTCTTTGAAGTTACTAGTTAGGATAAAATTTACTTGGCACATCTTACAATGATATTTATACTTGTTTTTTTTTTCGAGAATAAATTTTATGCGATATCTCATGAAGGAAATTACATATCATTGTACAGAGAAATAACTTTGTATATATTATCTGCACCCATATATTTTTTATCAATCTCTATCGATGACATTTTAAATTATATTGGAAACTAGATTGTGTAGATTTCTAAATATTAATTTAAAAGATTAAGATGCTAGAATTAATTATAGATATATCTTAATAATTTGTATATGCATTTATTATTTATCTCTCGTTTTAAGCCTATTTAGCAAGAAAAATATTGACTAATCCTGAAATTGATAATAGATATCTATACCTTTATATAATCTATGAGAAAAATTGCTCTCATAATATTCTTCTTAATAAAATAGTGAATAATTAACGCCTGAAAAAAAGTTAGCGCTTTATAACATGGTCCAAAGTTAATCCCAGTATCAATTTTAATGTGTAATTTTTCTCAAGTGTTCAAAATTCTATATCTTAATATCAAAAACTATTTTAGTTATCAATTTAAAGTCAAATAATATTAAAACACTAATATTCTCCAGTATTCATAAAAAACAACAGCCTGAAACAAGAATACTAAGCTCAAAACATCTTAAATATTTGATACATTTATAGTTTAAATATTTTTATTTAAATTATATATATTTATTAATGTACAAAAAATTTAATTTAACAATATATATAGATATAAAAATTATAAATAAAATTTATTATTCATGATATTGATATCCCATGAATTTAAACATAAACACTGTTTAAGTGTTTCACAGGCCATGCGATTTCTTTTCTTTGTTACGGTGTCCACCCCTCTTGAGAAGACACGCTCGCTCTCAACGGATGTACTTTGCTGCGACAAAAAATCTTTAGCCATCATGCAAAAGTACGGAAAACGCTCAGAATTACAGTACGACTTAAAAAAAACTCGACTTAACACTACATTTTTGAAAAATATGGCTCGCCTAAATTACTAAATTATATTTAAAAAAATTCATATTTTATATTAAAAAATGCATCCGGAATCGCAAATACTTATAAAAAAAATTTATTGTTTTATTAGTTTAAAAATTCCATATGGAAGTGAAGTGACTATTTAAATTCTAAAATTAAAAAAGATATTTTATTTTACTTGGCGTGGTGCCAGCTAGACGGCAAATTTGTTGAGATTTTTTCTTTTCTTCATTGTTAGGGATAGGGATATGTATAATAATCATTTTTTTTAACTTTCCAAATTTTTTTTATTATTTTTGAGGGTAGCCAAATTAAATTTTAATTTTTTTTTTAATTCATTTTTTGTTTTTAAAATTATAATTTAATTTTAAAGAGTAACATAAATTTTATTAATAAAAGTTGTCCTATTTTTCTTGCTATATAGGGTTAAAACGAGAGATTTTAAATAATAAATGCATATACAAATTATTAAGATATATCTATAATTAATTCTAGCATCTTATTTTAAATTAATATTTAGAAATCTACACAATCTAGTTTCCAATATAATTTAAAATGTCATCGATAGAGATTGATATAAAAGATATGGGTGCATATAATATATACAAAGTTAATTCTCTGTACAATAATATGTAATTTCCTTCATGAGATATCGCATAAAATTTATTCTCGAAAAAAAAAACAAGTATAAATATCATTGTAAGATGTGCCAAGTAAATTTTAACCTAACTAGTAACTTCAAAGAGGAAATATTTTAATATCCTCAAACTTAAAAATATAATATGAATAAAACATAGGAGTTTATGTGATAGTTGATTTTCTAACCCAGTCTATGACAATAACATATTTAAGAATTTTATTATAAATTAAAATTACAAGAAATATATTAGCATCTCATTTTATCACTTAAAAAATATTATGTACCTAACTACTCGTATATATAATAACCATTTTTTGTCCCTTATTTATGATACATTCTCACTGATATTTTAATTTAACATGTTTAGGATATATTTTTTTAGCTATTTGCTTTAAAAAAAGTTCAAAAATAGCGATTATGACAATTGTCACCTATCTATGATACATCCTCACTGAATTTTTAATTTAACATGAATATATATTTTTAGCTATTTCCTTTAAAAAAATTAAAAAAGGTTCAAAAATAAAGATTATGACAATTGTCACCTATCTATGATACATCCTCACTGAATTTTTAATTTAACATGAATATATATTTTTAGCTATTTCCTTTAAAAAAATTAAAAAAGGTTCAAAAATAATGAATATGACAATTGTCACCTATCTATGATACATCCTCACTGAATTTTTAATTTAACATATTTAGAATATATATTTTTAGCTATTTCCTTTAAAAAAATTTGAAAAAGTTCAAAAATAGCGATTATGACAATTGTCACCTATCTATGATACATCCTCACTGAATTTTAAATTTAACATGTTTAGAATATATATTTTTAGCTATTTCCTTTAAAAAAATTTAAAAAAGTTCAAAAATAACAATTATGACAATTGTCACCTATCTATGATACATCCTCACTGAATTTTAAATTTAACATGTTTAGAATATATATTTTTAGCTATTTCCTTTAAAAAAATTTAAAAAAGTTCAAAAATAACGATTATGACAATTGTCACCTATCTATAATACATCCTCACTGAATTTTAAATTTAACATGTTTAGAATATATATTTTTAGCTATTTCCTTTAAAAAAATTTGAAAAAGTTCAAAAATAGCGATTATGACAATTGTCACAAATCTATGATACATCCTCACTGAATTTTAAATTTAACATGTTTAGAATATATATTTTTAGCTATTTCCTTTAAAAAAAATTGAAAAAAGTTCAAAAATAGTGATTATGACAATTGTCACCTATCTATGATACATCCTCACTGAATTTTTAATTTAACATGTTTAGAATATATATTTTTAGCTATTTCCTTTAAAAAAATTGAAAAAAGTTCAAAAATAACGATTATGACAATTGTCACCTATCTATGATACATCCTCACTGAATTTTAAATTTAACATGTTTAGAATATATATTCTTAGCTATTTCCTTTAAAAAAAGTTCAAAAATAGCGATTATGACAATTGTCACCTATCTATGGTACATCTTTACTTAAAAATTTTAAAAAATAACTATGATGGAATAGTTAATCCAGAGCGTTATAATTTAAAGAAGCTTTAAGAAACTTTCCCGCCTATAATATTAATATCTACTAAATGTTATTTGACTTTTGGTCGAAAAAAATGATCTAGATATTTGGTTAGGTGAAAAAAAGCAACCCTAACTTTAAGGCGTATTTAAAAAAAACGATCCATATTTTGGGTCGGATTGAATAAAACGACCCGATGTTTGAGTCTGAGTCAAAAAAACGACCCAAACTTTGAGTTGGAGTCGAAAAATACGATCTAAACTTCAAGTTGGAGTCGAAAAATACGACCCAAACTTCAAGTTGGAGTTGAAAAATACGACCCTAACTTCAAGTTTGAGTCGAAAAATACGACCCTAACTTCAAGTTTGAGTCGAAAAATACGACCCAAATTTCAAGTTTGAGTCGAAAAATACGACCCAAATTTCAAGTTTGAGTCGAAAAATACAACCCAAATTTTGAGTCGGAGTCGTAAAAAACGACCCATATTTTGGGTCGAAGTCGTTTTTTTCGGCTTGAACTCGGGTCGAAGTCGAAAAAAACGACCCAAACATTAAGTCGGAGTCGAATAAAACGACCCGAGCTTTGGGTCGGGGTCGCGACTCGCGGCGTTTTAACAACACTAGATTTCTGTAATGATTTTATTATAGGAACTTGTTAAGTCATTTTGTCGGAAGATGATTGGCGTAAAATAAAATACCTTACTAGTGTATTAGTTCCTTAAAAAACAAGGGATGTGAACCCTTCGACAGAAAAGGGTTCAGGTTTAGGGATAAAATTTATAAAAGGGATCGGGTCCACGATTTTGAGGAAATATTGACTCAATATAAAAATTAATACGATTTTTTTTATTCAACTCTATATAAATATAATTTACTAGCATAATTAATTTCTATTTTAATTATAAATGTTTTACTCAATCCACTATCAATGCTTCAAAATATCCTCTAATTTCCACGCAAATTATAATTGCTCGTATATTAAATTAAAAATATAGAAAAATTGTATTTTACTGTATTGATTGTATTTTTTGGTCCCAATATTTTACTTTCTAAAATTTATGTAAAAACAAGATAAAAATGTATTCCTATTTATAGCCTATTTAATTTTCATTAATAATAAAATTTATATACAAAATAGAGGCAAAAAACTGAAAATTTTTAAAATTCGAAGAAAAGGAAAAATGAACATTTTATTTAATTTTTTTGATACCTTGAATCCTTAAATTTTAAAAAGCTCGGGTTCAGCAAAAACACGAGGATTCCATGGTCACAACCATGTAAATTATTACGATAAATTATAAAAATATTTAATATTATTTTGAGTGCAAAAAGAGGGTTTCAGCGAAAATATCCAATATTGAGCATCAGTGCATCTCTTGATTTTATGATTTTAAATGCATATTATTTGATATTTATATTTAATCAATATATATACACAAAAGATTAGTGCCATCTGCTCGATATATACCATTAAGGTTAAGTATGGTCAATTGCTTAATATTATTTTGTCAAGTTGGTATTTATGTTCCTATTCTACCATTTATTACCGAGGTAATCATTATAAATTTTTGTAGTAATATTTTTGTTGAAGTGTCTAAAATAAATTATTAGTATAAATATATACAGGGTTGGATAAAAAATTATACAATCATTACATTATGGATAGCATTATATTATATAATATAACGCATCTGTAATTTTATCATGTAAATGAAGCATGAAAATTGAGATTTTTGTCCTATCCCTTTCAATTTCTATAAAAATTTGTAGGCACCGTTATATATGTTTTAGTAATATCTGAAACAAAATTTTAGCTCATTAACAATTATACTATACAACCTTTTACTAGTTATAAATTAAAGCTATAAATTAGTTCAAATATTGAATCTAATATTAATAACTAAGTCAATTATTGATAATTAAGGTGGGAATCAAAATAAATTTTTTTAAAATATTAGTCATCTTATGACCATTTGAAAATTTCAAATTGAATTATTCTTTTACTATTGCACGGCCTGATAATTATTTAAAAATTAAAATATCGCGAATGCATAAAAATTCGTATGTATGGCGCTATATATGAAGCATTTCAGTGTTATAAAAAGCATTTTCTATCGTTAAAAATCATAATCATTTTAATAGTTTGGAAAACGTTATTTAAAAAAAATCGCCTTAACTTAAAAAATGCTTAATATTATATATATAAATATTTTTAGTTTTTTCTTTAGATGATAAAAATAAAATTATACAAAAATAATATATCATAAGATAAAGATCTTTTTAGAATTATTTTTTATTTATTTTTAACAATTGGTTTTCAAATTTTTATTAGATTAACAAGAACGCTTAGTGCTCAACCCAGCTTTCACTGTGCTAAACACATTTAACTGGCGAGGATGGGAGGGTTATGTTATATTTAATGAATAAAAATTTTATTTGGCGAATTAATCAAAAGTATTAGATTGGTCTTTTTTTTCAAATAAATCTTATTAGATCATCTTTACAAGATTCTTCATTCAATCCTCATCAAATTTCTTTTTATCTTTACCAGATTAATCTGCTTTATGTGTCGTTATTTAGAGGGACCATCTGATCTTCCTTTATATTTGTCAAGATATTTTCTCAAACTAGAAATAAGTTCAAATTTATTAAAAATAAGATTAATATAATGAAAAATATAGAGTATAAACAAATTTCAACTGTATATTTTCTGTCTTCTAATATTGAATTAATAAAGGTGTTATTGGCAAAGCCTGGCTAGAGAAACTCTACGAAGCATTCCGTTGATTTTCCAATAAGTTAATCATATTGAACGCGGGTGGATTATTCATTCAACTTAATATCATCAAAATCGTTTTAATTAAATCACAACATAATAATAATTTTCCATTGGACATAAATAAGATAACCAATATTTAATAAAAATTTAATTTAGATATTTCCCCACTTTCAATCATTGACTTAGTTATTAATATTAGATTCAATATTAGAACCAATTAGTTTTATTTTAAAACTATATAAAATCAGTAAAAGGTTAAAACATACCCGATTTTTTTGTACTTTTGATTCCCATTATCACAGGTAATATAAATGTTAGTAAGCTAAATTTTTTTAGATATTATAAGAGAGTGAGTGGCGTGGCCAGGATTGATCTATGAGGGGGGGGGGGTTAAAATTTACCAATATTTTGTGCTTTATAAGTGTCTAACCACTATAGTAGCCAGCATAAATGAAAAAAATATTAGTAACAAAATTAATACGCGACTGAAAGCATTATTCTGAAAATTTTATCAATGAGTCAATTGTAAATTAATTCAATCCATTCGGTGTAGAAAGAAGAATAAAATCCCCAAATCTCCCATTTTTTATGATCACTCAATATATCTTATTCTATATTAAAAATAATTTGTTTTGACTAAATTTTTGCATATAACAAATTTTTCTGAGAATTTCATTATAGATTTTATTTATTATTTATACAATAAAATAAATTTCAAAATGTATAAATTTTATACAGATTATATTAAAAATTTATTCTAAATAACTATACCGGTATCTTTACAGAATACAAAATTAGATATGATATCGGATCGGTTATCGGCCGATATCAATTTAATATCTGGAATATCGGATCGGATCAGTCTCCAAAAAGTGGTATCGTACACCCCTATAAAAAAAATAAAATTACAATAAAATATGAGTGTGGTATTTTAAAAAATCTAATTTAACAATTATAATATACAAATGACTATATTAATAAAACATAAATAATTCTTATTAGAGATCCGCAAAAGTAGGAAAATCGGGTTCAGGCTGGGTCAGGCCTAATATTTTTAAAAAAAATTTGGGCCGGGTATGTTAAATTTTTTATGTAAAATAAGAATATTTGATTTTATTTATAAAATCTAGACGCCACATATATTTTTTATTTTGAGTTATTATAAAAATCAATTTCTATATTTAAATAAATTAGGGCCAGGCCGACAAAACTTTTTAAAAAAAATTTCGGGTTCGGGCCGGCAAAACCTTTTTAAAATTTTCGTGCAAGGCCGGGCTTGAAAAATTAGACCCGATGCAGATCACTAATTCTTAATGCAAATGCAATATTTTTATTAAAAATAGTATAATATATAAATATTATTACTAAGAATTCATTATAATTACGTTTTGAATATAAAAATTATGACTAAGATCATATTATATAGCAATTTTATATTTTTAATTTATAAAGAGAGGTCTACTTTTCTCTGAGATTTGACTAATTCATCTAGAATCAAATTTTTATCTAGAATAATCTCCTTATAAATATTTAATATTGCGAATCCATTTAAACAGCTTTCACCGGTATTTCTTAAATAGGTTTTTAACCTTTTCAAAGTTGAGAAAATTTTTCATTAGTGCAGGTGCTAATCGTAAGGTAGCTAAAATTAAAAGCAATGTTTTGATATTAGGCAGGGAATCTAAAGTGCAATTGTACATGAAAAGGGCCTGCAAAACATATTTTGGTCTCAAAGAGTACTCTATTCTGTCAAAATTTTTATACCAAAATTCAACACAAAGTTAGTTATCATACGATCCTGATAATTCATCAGAATAAAACTCTGAGATTTTCTTAATATCCTCTCGCGTTTCAAATGTATTCAGACTCAACCGGCAAAAGAAAATAAAAGCTGTTTAAATAAAATTGTGGTTACTAATAAATCTTTCCTTTCCCTTTATCACATATGACTACTAATCAGTCACATAGTGAATTTTCTGACCTATTTTACCGTGTTAATTATTTTGGCGCTAAAATTTGAATTGTGTCTTACAAGTAACATTCCTTTTATATAAAAATCATTTTTTTAAATAGAAATTAAAGTGCGAGTATTTAATGTCAGCTGTTCCCTATATTTCAAAATTGACATTTTTCGTAATTTTTAATTACATTTTTTTAATATATGAAATAAAAATGGATCAATAAGGGGAGTAAAATTTTTATTTTATAAAAATCCTCAATCGTAGATTCATCAATATTTAAGCGATTGGACTATCTAGAAACTACTCTAGGTTTAAAATTTTTAATCCCAAACATATTAGCGATCACCTTTACTTTCTCATTACATTTACCAAATTAAATGATTTTATTTAAAAATTAATTAAAATTTTTAAAACTATCTAATTAGTTTAACAATATAAATTTATTAAATTTATATTGTTAAACTAATTTAACTATGCGAGAAAAAATTTACAATATATTTTTATTGTTATTTAATATTTTACATATAATTTTTAATATATATTTTTAAACCATGTTATCATTTAAAATTAAAAATTCTTATTTGTTTTTTTATATATTTCATTTTCATATCGTATATAATTTCATTTATAAATTAAAACCATTTTTCAAATAAAATTATTCGAATTAAGAAAATTTTTTTTTAAAAAATGTTTTTTTATGAGGTTATGGGGTGGGGGGTTTCAATCCCCTTGCCACAAATTTAAATTGAAAGGGGTTGGCTTGCCACAAATTTAAATTGAAAGGGGTTGGCTGGAAGCCTGTGTTTGATTTGACATGGTATGAAACAAATATATTAACGCTTTTTTATACATTATGTGAAATATTTAATTGTTATTTTATAAATTTAAACCTTAAATTAGGAGCCCATAGCAAAAGTATTTTCTGTCTAGGATATTAGATGATTTATATAATGCAATGCTAATTGTCCTGCATTCTTTTTAGTATTAGTACTTCTATACCTTACCCATTTTTTGTGGCAACTCAATTGTTACATATTTTTCTATGCAATAGTACTGACTGGTAATTTTGTAGGGTAACTGGCCAACCCTGATTATATAAACTTATTATTTACTACAAAAGATTTTAACACCAATTTTATAAATAATACAAAAATGTTCATATTAAACTTTTTTTATTCTACAAAAAAAGATACTTAATTTGCTCGACTTTAACAAGTCTCAACGTGTTACATCAAATAAAGTTGTTAATTATGACGTGCTTTTAAAAATATCAAAAATTCAAATGAGGGAGAAAGTTTACAAAGTATGCTTATTTTAATCAAATATGCAATTTTACTAAAATGTTTATTAATATATTTTTAAACTTTTTCAGGATGAGATTATAAATTCTATCTATGATTTGTCAATGGATTACCTTGTAAATTACTCGCATTATGTTACTTTTCCTGAAATAACTCTTATTGCTATTAATCAAGTAATTATAAAATAATATTTTTTAATCTCAGTTGATCGCATATTAATTAAGTTCAAATTATTCCTGAGGAGTTGCAAAATATCAATATACCGTTCTTCGATCAAACAACTTGTTAATAAAATTCAAGAAAATTGCGCTTACATTGAAAAAAAACGAGAGAATTTAAATTTATCACTTTGTAATCAATTGGAAAAAATAGTTTAAATCTTACTTTATTTTAAATCATATATGTGTCAATTTGATTTAGGATAATTTTGAAGAAAAATTGAAATTGGATGAAACTCCTTTTAGTAAGTACTATCAAAAGTGGAAAAGGTTGAGGACACTGGAGTTGATCAATGATATGACTCAAAGGAATGAAGTTTATTTATTTTTATCTATTATACGAACTATAAGAAACGGAGACCTGCAAACTTTTTTTCAGTCAGAGTCCCCCTCACCCCAAACATGCTAGTAATTTAGGTCTAGGCACGACTAGTTATGAATGGAATTTCAAATTTTATTCTCTACATTAATGTTATAATAAAATTTAAATATATAACACTCGCTGATATTTATCTATTTTATTCAGTCATTCCACGTCAAATCAAAAATCATGATTTTTGGTAACTCCTTTCGATTTAACTTTTCTAAATTGCATAAAGATAAAGTAAGGTTTATGTTACCTATACCTAGGCATATTTTTAGACTCCTAGCTTTTATACCTTTTTCATAATTATACATAAATAATTAAAATATAACAATAATATACATAAAATGGTGAAAAACATCGTTATTTGTTTTAAATGTCATAATAAATATTACAAATGATTAAATAAAAGTATGACTATAATATTCGCCATAGGGAATCTTTTTTAATAACCTTAACCTCTCGTTTCATTGATTGATTATCATTAGCAAGCCTCCACTGACTTGAGAAGATGCCTATTAACGTTCATCACCATTAAACTGGAAATATGAAGACGTTCTAAAATCCGTCATAATGACATTCATAAAGTGAAAATGGCGCTTATATTTAGCAATACTACACAGAATTGCGAAGTCGTTTAGTTTGCTTTTTCCCATAACCAATATGAGGGTCTGGTTGCCAGTTATCTTTTTAAAAATATTTCATATCAGATAAGATGGCCAAATAGATAAAACTATATAATTTAATATAATATACATAATTACTAGAAATATCGGAATTATTGTATTATATTAACCTATTTTGAATATTAACCATCCCAAGAGTCTTGCTCTATTTTCGTATGTTCTTAGAAATATTAAATTAATTCATTTGGAAATTATAAAAGATTTAGAACCTACCAAGCATGTCCTTAAATGACTCCAGAACATGAATGATTAGCTATATTGATTTTCAAACTGATAGTTCTTTTCTGAAGCCTTAGATATATTAGATAAGGCGAGATATGATAAGAATTGTCATACTCCTTTAGAAGTTTTATTATCGGCCAGCAATCTGGCATTGAAATTAAAATTTTCATTATTATTCTATGATAATTGCAAGAATTTATTTTCAAGATGTAGAAATATCTCGTCTAAATTTTGTTTTTTAATTTGGTTTAGAGGCTGATATTTAAGTTTTCGGCAATGGTCTTTTGGGATATCGTTTTTCCGACATGCTCTTTTGTATGGGTGATTCTTCAAAATTGTTTCAATTACACCAACTTATCAAATTATGGTTTTACTCTTTTTAGTTTTTGCGGGTCTTTGTTAATGTTTTGCAAATCTCTACATCGGATTAGATTTTCTGATGTTTTTAAACCATTTACGTATATAAATATTGAATGGATTGTAACATTTAATGCATTTCTATAAGATTTTCATAATATTCTATTTATGAAAAAAGTTGTTTAATATTGCTATAATCAAAACATTGTTACTTTTTTGGTTTCTTAATATAATAGGCATAAAATAAAACTGGAGTGTAAAAAAAATTTTTAAAGGAAAAAATATATTTATTCTAACTTTAAATTTGTTTGTACTTATATTTTGCACAAGTTACCTGGCCTAGCTCTTAAAATTTTCATTTTGATATAATTAACTAGTATTATCAATCTTATTAGGTTACAATTTATTTAAAAATATATTTGTATCATGAAGGATCGTTACAATTATAATTTTTAAATTAAAAAAATTTGCAATATAAAAAACAAAAGAATTTATTTATCACGCTATTTTATTTTTATTAATCCATTCGTGATAAACTCTTCTTCAAACATTAATTATTATTATTTAATTAAAACCTCATATTCCGAGCATATCACATATTTTTTCATTCGTTATTCAGTTTTATTTATCGCGTTTCAATATTATTTATAATCCATGCGCGACTTATATAGAAACATACCAATGATATATGTCTTTCTTGTTAAATTATAAGTTATTCATTTGTGCTGACTTGTGCCCTTTATTATGGTAGTCACCACTACTTAGGTCATTATATGCACTGCTCCATAACCTGAAGTTATATCCCTCTACTATCCTGCTTCATTGTTCCAAAAAAATTTTCCTATCCATTTTTTTTCTATTGTCTGAAATCAGTACATATTAGAAAAGATGGAAGCTTACAAGTTCATGGACCACCTTCAGTCATATGTTCACATTCGGCTTCGCTCCACTGTCTTATCAGTCAATCGATTATTGCTCCAGAAAATGTTGTTCCACCTCTTCACAATTCAAATTTCTGCATCATTTTTTATTGACTACAAACCAAATATCATTTCAAAGATCCCCACAGGTGCAAGATTTGTTGCTAAATCTTTCTCTGATTGTCTATCTTCCCTATTGCTAAACTTTAGTAATGAGAATGAATGCTTAAAATTCCTTTTCTATGGATATTATTCCTTCAGGGTTCCCGACAAACCTTTACATAAATTTCTTACCCAGCAAATTAAGGAGGCTGCATCCATTGTTGCCTCTCATCTCATGAATCAGGATGCCATTGCTTGTTAAAAACAAAAAAAACCTCAGTGATTGAGATGAAGACCAATTTGATCTGCAAGAAAATTGACAATCTCAATATAAAAGATGCACTCAGATTGGTTTCCACACATGACTATCTTGCTGAACCTTCCTATGATACATATATTAAGATCTGGCAAAAACACCCCAATGCAGCCATTAACCCAATATCCCCACAACTTCACTCAACATGTGCTTCTCTATTTACTTCTGAAGGGAGGTAAGCTATCCTTTCTTTTCATCGAGATTCTGCTCATGGTCTTGATGGCATCCGCCCTATGTTTCTCCAGGGCCTCACTTCCCCCTCAATATGATATAAAATTTTAAAAGGTAAAGTACCCAGCTTTGTTTCTCCAATCCTCTTCAGTGCTAGGCACTTCAAAAGCCCAATAATGATATTAGACCATTTCCAATAGGTTCTACCTTTCGCTACTTAGTTGCCAAGATGATATCTTCTCAAATAAAGCATGAAGATTCATATCTCCTAAGCCCTTTCCAAATTGTGTTGGAATCCCTAATGGCTGTGAAGCGGTTGTACATTTAACTAGAATACATTTAGAAAATCAGCCTACCAGCCTTTAGTCAAAATTGACTTTTCTAATGCCTATAATACACTTTCTCGGAATTCTTTCCTGAGTTCCTCTTTTACTCTTTTCTCCGGTTACACAAAATTTTTTCATTCTTGTTATTATCTTTTCACCCTGCGATTTGATATTTATAAAATTCCTTCCATTGAAGGCATTCAAAGGGAGTTCTACTTGGTTCCTTATTTTTCTTTATCAACAACATCGTTAAATCAATTAACTCGACTTTCATTATCCTTAATGGTTCCAATGACGAAGTCAATAAAGTATTGAATTTAATCAAGGAGGCTGGGACGATTATTGGACTCTATCAATCCCGAGAAACCCGAATTCATTTCTATCAAATCAATTAAACCTAATTCACACAATTTCAAACTGACTATCCTTGAGGAACTAAATCATTTTGGCGTTCCTGTTGCTTTTTCCTCTTAAATTTATTTAATATTGCTCGTATCCTATATATCCTTCGATCAACTCCCATTTTTAAATATCCCATACCTCTCGATGTTTATGAAAATGGGATTAAAGTCCTAATAGAAAATAGTTTAAACCTTAAATTTGATGAATAGCGTGGACTCAAGCCTCTTTACCCACCGAGATGGGGGGGGATTTGGTATCAGATTTCCTTCCGATGTTGCCCTAACTGTCTTCATATCTAGTTGTCTTTTAGTAAAAAATATTGTAAATTACCATTTGATAAAAAATGGCCCTTCCTATAATGATGCTATTATCGTGTGGAAATCACAAATTATCGCTGATCACCCACTTCTAGAAACGATTAGGTAGAAGTACTGGGATGGGCCTATTATTGTAAGCTGCGTTCACTCCTTTCCAGAATGCAATTATCTGACCGTCCTTTATTCTCTTCGCTGCATAATGGATCTGGCCATGAGTTCCTTGAGCCACTTAACCAAAATGATCACTTACGCCATTGGTATTCGTTTCAACTGCCTAATAACTCAACTCCACGCTTGTTCTGGTTGCAGTTCTGCCGTTGTGAGTAATGCAAGACATAGCCTCCATTGTCGTCCTTGTAAAGGTCGAATTGTTCGACATAATTTATGCAATTCGATTATACTTATGGCTTTGAGACAGCTCAAATTCCCTCTATTCTTGAACCCCGTGGTCTTTTCAGATCCGATGGTAAACGTCCTGATGGGATCTCTCTAATTCCTTGGAAGTGTGGTCACTTCCTGGTCTGGGATTATTAGTATATTGATCCTTTGGCTCCATCCAATCAAACTATTAACATTCTGGAGAAAAACTTAAATTAGCAAAATATTGTGAAATATCACAAGAAGAATACATATTCATTCCCACTATTTCCACAACCTTTAGGAATCGTACATTATCCTTTTTCAAGCAATTTGGCCAGCACATTTGTAAACTTATGGATGAACCTCGAAGACAAAGACTCGCCATAGCGATTCACAGGGCTGATTACATTAGCTTTATGGGCAGCCTCATCTCACAAGATAATTAGTTTCAACATTTTTTTTGTGCGCGTTGTTTTCGTTTTTCTTTTAGAACATATATATGGTGAAATCCATATAAAATCGATTCTCAACCCGACCCCTTTCAATTTTTCTTAAATTTTGCATACTGGTAGTATATACTATAACTAAGAAAAATATGTTAAATATTACCTTCCAACACTGTTTACCCTCATAGATAGGCCGTTTAAAGCTCGGAAAAATGATACATTTTTGACAAAATGCACCTCATTTATTTTCAAATATCTCGAAAAATAATTTAAATTTTATTATGTAGCTTAATAATAATTCTTTAATATGACATAAAAATAAATATT